TCCTCAAGCATGATCGCAATTTTGACTACCGAAACCAGTTTCTGAACGTGCGCATGCACATGTGCTACCTAGGCTGTCATGAAGGTGGACTGTGCTGCTACCTAGTGATACACATAGAAAGCCTATTACATCCATTATAGCTGTTTTACTTCCATCTGTAACCTATTTACTGACTCTCCCTCATATCTGCCAGTCTTGCTCAACCATTCACCATTGCAATGCACAACTAACAAGATGAAATACCATGGGGCCCTATCCTACTTTTTACCTGAGCAACCTGCTTAAACCAAAGCAAAATGTGAGTACTTTTGGACTTGTGAACTTGGCAATGAATATTCAAGTTTCATAAAAGGAATCAAATATCTGAACTACCTTAGGTACAGCTGATTTCACAAGGATTCTGAGGCAGATGTGGACTGCATTCATCTGACTCTGGCAATTACTGAATGTACAGCTATTGGAACCATGATAACAATGTTATGATGCATTAAAAGATGGGAAATTTCATTATTAGGCATGTGACTACTGTGTTCTCTCAAGGATTCTGCTTTGGTATCTGATCCTGAATGTGGGCCAGTGCCAAGCTCTTGTAAATATGGTAATGAACATTGAGGTTTTGTGAAAGGTGCAACACTTTTTTGAACACCTGATTTTCAGCTTGTCAAGACAGAATCTATGCATAATGTAAACTGGACTAATCTGGCTCAACATATAGTCCTTGTAACACTCTCATGATTATAATAATTTTGGGGTTCCAAAAAAGGCAAGAAATTTCTTGAGTAGTTGAGGGTCCACTAATTTTTCAAGGACTTTGTGGTCAGCGTGAGATGGTTCGATTGGGTTTAGGAAAGGGTCAAATGGAAGGCACGCTATTTTAACATGGTAATGACCCTCTGGGTTCCATAAGTTGTGATATTTGTTGACTAGCTGATACACTACTGGATTCTCAAGGACAGTGTGCACTTACACATCTTGCTCAGAAAAGGACCCAGTTTATGAAGACTAATTAACTTTCAGGTTCCATAAAAGGCAGGGAATTTCTTTACTATCTGACCTAGAGTTGCAGGCTAGATTCATTTGGCCCATGATATTGTTTCCTGGTGGACTACTGTGAACACTGTAAAGAACCTTTGGTTTTCATAAAGAGCAAGGAATTTATGAACAGTTAGATAACTGTTAGGAGTTGGTTTTTCCTTTATCATCTGCTCAAGGTTTAATATGTTGACACATCTACTTGAATGGTAACAAGGTAAGCAACAACTGGTAGCATCTCAGATTTTCGCTACTATAATGTACATGTATGAAGATAACATGCTTGCTATTAGTGGGCTCTTAATTTCAGATCTAGGGGCAGTACCACTGAAGTAATCTCAGCTAATGTAGCACACAATACCAACACTGCTCCAGCATTTCCCTGAAATTAACCACAAGTAAAATAACCCCCAGTTTTAAAATAAGTAGGCTGGTTTCTTAATACAAATCATAACACACAATTTACTCACAAAGAAGTACATATTTTCAAAAAATAAATTAGTGTTACTATTTCTGTTAAAACATTCATGATAAATATAATATAATCTTACAGAAATAATTACATATTATTATTATTATTATTATTATTTTGCAATATCAGCTGGCATCCCTATATATGAACATTAATATTATAAAATAAGCACTGCCTATTCATTAAGGTACATTTTGGACACATCATAATTAGACATTTCCTCACAACAAAGGTTAGTTTGATATAAAAACAAATTAATTTCACCATCCTATGTACTAAATCTTATTTACAAAAACCAATTAATCAATTCAGTGTTACTGTTTTGTCTATCTCAATAAAGGAATGGCAGTAAAACCACAAACAAAACATCACCATAGTCTTGTGTCTGCAAGATGCATGCAGAATGAAAGAGGAAGTATGAAATGAAACATACTCCCTTTTGGGATTTATGCCATGTAGTCCAGCAAAAAGTTATTGAAGTTTAAAAGGAATGAGAGACAGAGTACACCAAGCCAGCATCACTCTGCTTACTGCTTGCATGGATTACTCTTTGACTCCACATATAGAGGCAATATGTTCCTCCGTACATCAGTAAACAACTACTAGACTACATGGCATGGCATCCCAGAAGACAGTACTCTTCACAGCCACTGCTGTGAGAAGCAAAAATCTCCAGGAGTTAATCAGTAATACTTAGATGATAATTTACAGACCGATGTCTTGTTAGGGAATTATGATGACAATCAGGGCTCAATCCACTGAATCACAGACTAGCGGCAACATGCAAACGTTTTATATTCAACTGTTTCCATCTACCACTTGTGGTGGGTTACTCTACTTCTGAGGTCCTTATGATGACAACATGATAATTCAATAAGTTCCTCTTGGACAGTCTGATATGTTAGTCTAGGATTTGTGTGTGATGTTTCAGAAACAATCATCAGGGATTGATGCAATGAGTGCTGTGTTCCCACATAATATTGTGACACTACACCTGAAAGCCAGAGTAGATGCTTGTGGATTTTCTTCTTTTTTTCTTCTGCCCTGAAGATGGAGGTGATACATTCCTCCAAATCATCGGTTAACACAATATCTACATGCGTGCTACATCCCAGAAGACTGCTTTCTTCAAATTGTGTAAGTGTTCAATGAATCCGGTCATCAGTCTACAACAAGTCTGTAAGTTACACATACCCCCACATACATGAGAGTATTTGTACGCACAGCTTTGTGTATAGGTATGGGCAAATAGATGATCATCACATCAAACCCTGATGACAGAAGCAGAAACAGTCCCTGAAACATCTGGTGCCAGCTACACACGAACATGGCTGATTGTAGAAAAGACTTCACTGTATATGAGTACAGCAAAAGGTTTACATCAGACTTGTATATAACAATATCTGTTTACTCAACTATTTATATATACATTTAGGTCCCATTCAGACTTTCATGTCCAATGGTGACAAGAGGTATGAAGCATAAATAGACAAGAAAATAATATCACTTTGTAATATGGTCCTCTTAAAGCAACTGGACATTGTACTGGCTTTGTGATAGAAATTTCTCCAATTTGATATCAAAATTTTTGCATCATGCATTTTGTGAATTTCTAATGCAGAGTTCAAAATGTATCTTTGAGAGATGTATATATGTGGCATATATTAAATTATAAAAATAAATATTAAGTATATGTCTTTAAACCACCCTTCGTGCAGCCTATGTACATTAACCATGCAAGATGATTTATATAATTCATATTGCAAAAAGCAAAGTCCTGTTAATGATGTCATCTCTCTGTCACAGCAATGAACTAAATGCCTTCAACAGATGTAGACAATACAATGACATTTCTCTTTCTTACATACTGTTTATAAGCTGCATCCTGATTGTAAATGTATCAGTTTGGGGGAAAATGTGTGGCTTGTATTCAGGCTATATGGTAAGTTAATAAAAATACAAAATAACTTTGTATTTCAGCATCCTGTTGCATTGATATATCACTACACATTCACTTCCATCTTTAATATAACTCTGTTCAAAATCTCCCCTTAATTTAAATAAAATTAAAATCACAATCGACTGCTACGTGTTTTTGCCTTGCTTGGCCATCTACAGGCAGGTAAGACTGAAACATGTAGCAGTCCATTGTGATGTTAATGTTATTTTAAATTAAGGAGAGACTGAATAGAGTTGCAATAAAGACAGGGGTGATTGTGTTAGAGTGATAAAAAATAATTACTGGGCTATAAGAAATACTGCATACAAAACTGTTAACATAAGGGATTTCAAAGAATAATAGTGAACACATAATTACAAATTTCCAAAAGCCATTATCTTGTGAATAAATATAATAAGAAAATGTACACATAAAGTAACAAATCTGGTGTTCACCCCTTTCATTTATTTAAAAAACCATAAGACTTACAGAAGAAGTGCATTCCACTGTTACCTATAAGTTTTGTTTGAAACATTTTTCACTCTGATAAATATTTAGCAAGTCACACTAGAGCTGTGCATGGAAAAACATGCAGAAGTTCATGGAAAGTGCCCACTGTTGTAAAATTTTAACCAAGACCAGAATGTAATGAAACTCCCCCCCAAAACATTTCTTCAAAATTCATTCAGTTGTTCTCAAGTCGTTAGGAACAAACAGCTGCACAGACAGACATACACTCTGAAGGTAATAGGCACCTTTTGTTACAAACACATCAAATATTAATTTATGGACTGAAAAGAATGTAACTTAAAAATCAGTTACTCATGTTCTGTGATTCATCCATACTGTTAAATACAAATATACCTGTCATTTATATTATACTTCATTATATCTGTTGCCATCAACACAGTTCTTGATGTGTATGTCCATCAAATTTATGCCCAGCCAACAATCCCGTGTATACAAATAATAAAAATGGCATGATTTCAGTTGCTTAATTAATAAATTTAACATTTCATTAATCTATAGTGTGTGGTATTAACCCTTCATATTACAAGCTGGAAGGTCACAAGTTTCATTCCTGATGAGCTCAATGGATTTTTCAATTGACCTAATCCTTCCAGCTGCATGATGGCCCTGAGGGTGACTCAGACTCTAACAGAAATGGGTACCAGGAATCTTCCCGTGGGTAAAGGGCATTGGGCACGTAATGCCATCAATACAATTCTTGATCTGTGTGCTCATCAAATTTATGCCCAGCCAACAATCTGGTGCACAAATAATAAATTTGTCATGATTTCAATGCTTAATTAATAAATTGACACTTCATGAGTCTACAGAGTGTGGTATCAACCCTTCATGTTACAAGCTGAAAGGTCAAGAGTTCAATTCCTGATGAGGTCACTGAATTTTTCAAGTGACCTAATCCTTCCAGCTGCATGATGACCCTGGGGATGACTCAGACTCTAACAGAAATGAGTACCAGGAATCTTCCTGTGCATAACGGGCACCTGGCACATAAGGCTGACAACCTCACCACTATCTGTGGGCTGAGTGTCTAGAAAATGTAGGAACCTTGACGTCTCACAACCCTACAGGCCTCCACAGCCTGTTACAGGGATAGCTTCACCTTACCTTTTTACAGTGTGGTATCAATGCTTCACATGAACCCCAAACAATTTTATTTCCATACAGAAACTTGTTAATAACTAGGACAATTATTCTCCATGATATAAAACTTGCACACTTCCACCTTCCAGTCACTTCTGTCATGAGGGAAACACTCTGGTGAGTGACACAGACTGCATCCATCTCTCTCAGCCCTCCTATAGGAAGGCACTTGTGTTCACTGAAATCACCTTATCCAAAAAGTGTTTTCTTTATTTCCCTTCTTAGCCTTTGTTTGTTTGATGAGAATAAATTCAGCTTACTATATCATCATCACATCTGTGTGTGTTGCGAGTCCCTTCAAGTAGGTTCTGAACAAAGAAATTAATTTTCACAAAGTTTGGTATAAACTTCATGCCATTTTCATACTTTCTTCAATTTATACCACCAATAATATCCAGCAAACTTAAGTGGGAATCACACTTGTGCCATTTAAATACTTTCTCATTTCATACCACCAATAATATCCAGCGAACTGAAGTGGAACTCACACTTGTGCCATTTAAATAGAGCTCTGAAAATCTGTATGATGGTCATACTGGAAAAACTGAAGTTTGAGCTGCTCTGTAAAATATACACTAAAGCCAGGATGACCACACTGACCTTGTACTCATTGGTGATGGCCACTGAATGATTCCTGGTAGGCATGTAAGATTATGTATAGACGTAGATCATAAATATACCCAATTATTTTTGTGTTAAAAGTTGGAAACACGGAAATAATGTCACGCTTTGAAGGCATGTCTATGTTAATATCTGTTACTACTGTGTGGGATAGTTCAGCCACCCATCAGAAAAAATACTGTATAACTAGTCTGTTGGAGCTGGAACTCTATTAAATGCTTTATATGAGTAGAGGCTACATGCTGTGGACATAGAAGGTTTTGGATTGTCAAGTGTCACAGTGACTAAAGATGGGGTTTGGACTGGTAATTGGATTTACTGACCACTTACAGGTCATAACTACAACTGATTATAACACTGTTACTGATTTGCACACTACAGAGCTGTCCACGCTACCCTCTTCAGTCTATCTGCACTAGTTTTCATGGATTTATAACACAGAAACTATAAAAGTCTCACTAAATCACATATTCCCAATATCGCTCTACTACAGCGCACATAAAGTCTTCAAATCACATGTTAAAATCTTCACAGGCTGACTTCTTGTACTCTTCTGCACTGCTCAAGCTTACTGCTTACTTGTTCACATGTTTCTGCTGCTACTCCTACTCATAACTGCCTTCAACAAATTCTGTCACTCTTACTTGTATAGCCGCAGAACAGACATTGATGTACAGTAAACAAATATCACATGTTCGCTTTCCAGCCAGTCTACTTGTGCACTGGTCTGATCTACAGAAAACACAGCTTCCTCTACTGTTACATGTTGGACTGTGTTTACAGAGCTGTTGCCTGGCAACACAATGATCAAATCTGTTAATATTTACTGCAGTCATTACTGACAAATGGTGCTTTCCACTGATCACAAAGCTGTTCAGTGGAGGCTGGGCATATCTGGGCTTTCAGTTCTAGACACACCAGAAAACCTACACATTAAAATTAGTCCCTGGTATGAGGTGCTGGAACCAAGAGATATGTTTCTTCAAAGTGTTGGTACCTATGTACCAAACTACATGTCAACATATCCAACAAGACCATACTCATTAACATTCACTGCAGTGAGAATCTCAAATCTCATAAATCTACGTTAATATTGAGCACGGACAAGGTCTAACTTATTCCAGATCCTGTTTTAAGTTTTGATTTTAGGAGATCACCTTAAGATTCAAAACCACCTTGTATTCAGACAAATATGGTATCATAACCAATAACTACTCTTCAAGGTTTGTGGCATTGGTCAATTAATTTTACAAGTAAATTGTGCTGGAACAGGTTTAAAAAAATAAAAATAAAAATTCATGCATGGAAAAATATTTATTATACATGGGATCCATTCTTGCCATTCAGTAGCTTAAAGTTCCAAGTTTTTGTTTACTCTGGTAACAACAGTCCTGTGCCAGCCATTTGTATCACTGTAGTCATGGAGATGGTTCAGCAGAAGGTGGACTGCATTTTGTAGCTTGCAGAGTTGAAATCCTTTATATGTGTCCAGTATAAGTTTCAGTTAGTGCATGGCGGTCCAGCATTAAGCTACAACTCCATTAAGAAGTGAGACAGACATCTGAAAGAAACTGGAATTGCTGTAAATCAGAAACTGCCAGGGTGTCCAAGAACATCCAACAAAGATGAGGAGCGTAAGAGACAAGTGCTTCTATGCAGCCCACTGAAGTTGATTTGCACAGCAAGCAAGCAATTACATCTTTCCCACTCCACAGTTCATGACACTGCACACAAATATTTATATTTACATGCGCAGAATTTGCAGCTGCAGCAGCACATAAAATTAACTAACCATAACTACAGAAATAGACTTTGCAAAGAAATGTTGCAGAAAATTCCATCTGAATGGTATCAACACACGTAACTCCAAAATCAGGGACAGTCAGCCACCTCAAGAAATTAACAAATGTCATAGGGACAATAAAATGTTAACATATCGTGTAGCATGATGGAAGTTCATATCACTGGACCTTCCTTCTTCCAGGAAGCAACTGTGAGAAGTCATTTGTACATGAACATGTTAGAATACTACACAATGTCACAATTGCCTTGTGACGCATGATTCCAGAAAGATGGAGTACCTCCATACTTTGGAAATATGTGGTATGAAATTAAAAATCGTTCTGCCATGTGTCAAGCAATTACTGGTGCTCACACTGAAACTTACCAAGCAACAAAAAAGAATACTGAATATTGTGCTAATGAATTGTGAGATCACTTCTTCTGCATAATAATACTTTTCTGTACACAATTTCTCCTTTTTTTACATACCTTTCTGACAAGTGGTATTATTATTCACTGCCTGTAGTATATTATAAATATAGTCATGTGACAGACTGTAACTATAGATGAGGTTTTGGACTGACGACTGGATACACTGGACTCTTTGATACAGCATGTGACTACACTATACAGTTCACCATTACACACATACTAGTGCCCAGTCATGTCTTCACTGCCATTGCTTCGTAGAGGCTTCCAACGGTGGACGCTCCCCTTCCTCTGGGTTCCTGAGTAGCCCATGACCTGAGCTACAACCTTATAATAGCAATAGCTCACAATGCCTTAAGTCAAAAATCAAAGTAATGTTACAACTGACGATCAGTTAGCCAGTCTGTTTTGGTGTCAAGCATCCACCTGGGCCCAAGACCAGATTTTTTACTGTCAGACAGTTGCTGGTTTGTTGATGAACAGGCATCCTCTCTGACAAGAGGACAGCTCTGTCGTTTACAACTGCTGCTGGCTCCTGCCAGCACAGTCATTCTTGGGTCCGAGTCCTGCTGGACTCATGACCATATTTACTGTCTTAGTTTCAAGACGCACCAACCTGGAGGGCCAGGTCCCTGTATTTATGTCCCCTAGGAACAGGGTGGCCCAGTAATACCTCAAAGTACTGGGTTCTCTTTTTGTTGCCTTTGACAACTTGCAGTGCCATGGTGGTTTTCTTGGAGCCTCCTCCTCTGGTAGTGTGTTCTCTGCACCAGTAGTCTGTGTTGATGTCAGTAATTCTGAGGTGTGAAGAAATTGTGAGTTAACATTGCTTTTGGAGGCAGCTTGACAGCTTTAGTCAACTTCTTGGCTGTCTGCGAGGTATTATTAGAGATATGACTTTTATGTCTCTTTACTTCATGGAAGTCATAGCAAGATCTCAGTAAAACCTTGCCTTTCCTGAGTAAAACCCCAATACAAGAATTAAAATTATATCTAAGCGAATAAAAAAAAAGAGTAGATGAGTTACACCACTGGGCATAACTCATTCACGAGCCAGTACTTACTGAACATATATATTAATTGCAGATTCTGCAGATTATGTATAATAAATGCGTGAAAAAAAAGTCTTAAAAATTTCAGTGTTTCACTCATTTCAACTGAGTTCTTTCTGTCCGGTTTAATACCCATGAAGGACATGACAGAAGCAGGAAGAGGAGCAGCAAAGCAGCAGCTCTGTGGAACAGCTGAATGACATAAATGTGTTGACTTAGTACTCACAGTTTCTAGTCTTCATCCACATTGACAAAATGACCTTGAACTGTTGATGACTGATGATATCTTCTCCTGGAAGCAAAATCTTCATTTTCTTCATTCTGTTGAGCTGATGTTACTTCTACTCCTGGATGAATAGGTGTCACCACAATCTGTTCATATTCTTGCACACGTTTACTGCAAAACAAATAAATGTTACATACAGGTGTGTAGAAACAGCCAAGATAGCTCAATCAACCGAATATCAATAAGCTGGGCAACTGGAGTTTCCATTCCTAGGTAAAGTAGGGTATTATCTCTTCAGTGCTGCATCCAGACCCAGGGGGTAAAGCAGTTATAGCATGAAGCTGATCACTCATCTCCATCCAGTGATGATGTTAAGAATACAAAGAACTTCATCTCTGCAACCTTACATATCTTTAAGATGCGATATGTAAGCACAGTGACACTGTACCTCTCCTTACAAGCATACAGTGAACAGCATGTCAGAGGGATTTGACTTTGTCTTTTAATATTAATAACCATGAGGTATAGAACCATGATAACATGAATAAATAAACTTATATAACATCTAGTACAGTTATCTCATGAACTAGAGAAGAAGTACTTTCAAAAGGGAAACACTGGAACAAATATCAAAAACAAACATGCAGATAATAACAAAGAAGAAAAGTATTCCATACTAGAGCATACAGAGCTTTGAAAGGTATTCTTCATTGAGGTTGTGTCTTTTGTCACAGTAATATTGTATACTGAAGCAGCAGGTTTGTATGCCACAATAATTTAGAACTACTCCTAGCTTTCCTGCACAGATGAAAGCATTTAAAGGCAACAACAAGAAGGGTGTCCAAGCATTAACACGTGTGGCTTGTATTTTGAAGATTTGTTTCCCAGTCATCACCTTCATTTAGCAAGCCTGTAATCATCCCTTTCAGTGTGTTCACAACAGTAGGTTGCATCCATCAGTTCTGACACGTCTGTCTGTCCACATGTAACAACTCAAGAACTGGAGAAGGGATTTCATGAAACTTGACAATTGGAAAGCATATACAGATTTGTTGACACATTCCAATTTTGATTGAATGAGACAACAGTAATGGACATTTTACATGAAAACCTACATGCATTTCCATGCACATTAGAGGCATAATTTGTGTAATATTTATCACATCAAACAGTATTTTGAACAGAGTTGCAGAGAAAATGAAATGCATGTTTTATGCCCACTATGCCCTTTTCCATAAGACCCATGGCCTTCAAGGTAATTTAACATGAAGGAGTGAATGTGCCAGATAAGTTACAATATGCATACATTCTCCAACTTGATATCTCATTCAACGCTAATCTAACCTCTACTCTTCAAGCTGCTACTAAGTAAACAATGGTCCAACCACACTGTCCTCTGTACAACTGTTGTTTCTTAATTCTATTTTGCAGAGAAGCGTATCAAACCTCTCAATTTACTCTGCTCTGGCTAGCAACTGAGAACGTGAGTCACAGTAGAAACAGCATGAAAGAAGAAGACTATAACAATATCATAACACAGCCTGCTACTGGACGAACTTTTATGTTACTTACCCCATTAGACGAAGCAGGGTGTTTTTTAGCCAAGTGAAGAACCGGAAATCAGAAGCTACGCCAGGTTTGACGGCAGGGTTTGCATGTCCAACGTAGAACCACACCACAAACACCATAGCAAGATTAGCCAGGGCATAGCCCCAGTGGACTGAGAACATGATGAACAGCTTCACAAGGGCCTAAATACCGAGGATATAAATTCCACATTTATTAACAACACAGACTGGATGAAAAATTCAGTGTTCTGAGGGTACAACAACAGCGCCTACATGCCAGACATTGTTATACAAAATGGAACCTTTTATTACTGGGAAATTTCTTTGGCCTCAACAACACTGGGTGAAACCTAGTGTACAATTAACTCCCAATTATTTAGTTTCCAGGCATTCAGAATTATCCAAAAATATACCACTTTTATGACGTTATTTCAAAAACAGAGTTGTGGCGTGCATATGCTTGGCCATCACACAGTAATTATCCCAGCTGTCACTAGCAGTGTTGCCTATCATCTTCCCATATGCAGGTACCATTACAACAAAATTATCCATGATTTCAGTACAGACTCTTTGAATATGGGATTGTGTTACAGTATATCCAAAAGCTTTCACCTATCAATCGTCATCTAAGAAGACTCCCAAACAAGAATTAAAGTGAAAATGTATCGCTTTGATTTGCAAACGGAAAATGGATACATGCACCAGAAAAGGGTGACATGAGATCAGGTTTCTGTAAATTTTATCATTGCAGCTGGCAGATTAATTTATCCAAAATATCCCAGTACCCACAGATTACTTTTATATAAAGTAAAAAAAAAAAAAAAAAACTGTCCCTGTAACAGACCATCAAGGCCCACTGGGGTGTGAGAGGTTGAGGCCCCCACATCTTCTAGACAATCAGCTCACAGATGGTGGTAAGGTTATCAGCCTCACACACCCACTGCCCTTTACCGCCCACGAATCTTCCTGGTACTCATTTCTGTCAGAGGCTGAGTCAACCCAAGGGCTATATTGCTGCTGGAAGGATTAGGTGAACTGAAAAAATTCAATGACCTCTCGGAATTCAAACCCGTAACCTACCAATTTGCAGCATGGTGCCTGAACCAACTACACTACTGCTCATGCAAAAATAAAATGTGAATGAAAGAAAAATGTGTAAAACAAATGTACTTCAACAATTTGAAGGAAACTATAGCAAAAGACCTCTCACACTTTCACTGCCAATATTACCAATATTCCCAAGCATGTGCCCATACACAAATTATCCCTTTCTTTTAAGACACTGTATTATAGCCAATGTGACTGTTTTGAGGCACATTTAATAATACTACTACATAAGTCAGCTGTTATTCCATAATTCCATATTTGCTTCTACACAGTCAATGAGAATGATGCTGGAAGTACAACAGTGACTTTGGAAGTACTACCTTCATGTAAAAATTGCATGGATATACGAGGTTTCATGTCTCATTATTTTGTGTGTTGTGAGCAGTGACCCTTTGTGATGATTATTGTCAACTTATACAGTATGCAGATTCATTGCTGATACTGAACATTTATACGTAACTGATTTTACTTCTTCACACACTGAGTATAAGATGATATGCAGTTATGCTGCAACCCCGAGCTCCTGGGATTTAAATGCATCTCAGTGAGTCATAAAAGTTATATACATTGCCAAAACAACAAAAACAAAATCTGTGCCCTGTAGTCCACAAGCAAACTATACTCACTGAGCGACTGCCCCTTGTCGGCGAAGTTAGTGCCAACTTTAGCATATAGAGGGTGTCACATGGTCAGTGCAACAAATCCCCATGGTCGTTAATTTCAGTCTTCTAGACCGGAGTCGCTATTTCCTTGAAATAGCTCCTCAATTTTCCTCACGAGGCTGAGTGGACCCCGTTTCAGAACCACTACTTCTCAGCAAATCTCGTAGCACTGGGAATTGAACCCGGGACCTCTGGATCTGTGCCCAGGAACTCTGACCACTAGACCACAGAAGCCACATATAAAAATTAATAACTCTGTTTTTATTTTGTATTTTGATCTGAAAATTTTAATCCTTACAGAATTTGCAAATCTAACACATTTCATGTCTGCTTTTGTGAAATGCACATACTTTACAGTTCCTAGCTGGATATTTCTTATTGCCTTGGCCACCAACAACAATCTGTGTACAAGAGCATGCTTATGTATACACTCAACTCTCAATTATCCGGGATAATGGTGGGGATGGAAATCATGATTAATCGAAAACCCGGTTAAGACAAATTTTATTAAAAGTAGAACTGTAATACTGTACCGTCATAATACTATAGGCCTACCTGTATTTAAATTTATTCAACCTCATTTTTATGTCATCTCATGGCCTATTTAATACTTGTTTTACATTACGCTGAAGTACGAATTAGTTATTTCAATCACAGTCTTCAACAACATCCAACACTTTTTACGAATATTCACACTTAACACTTAAAAAAATTTAACACTGTCGTTTACTTTTTTGTGGCATTTTCCTTTTTCTGTTGAATACTTAACACAACACGCTTCCTTTTAGACTTTGACATTTTGCTAACGCCCTTGAAGATCAATACAAAGAAACTAACTGGGGCGGTGTATCTGTCCTTTAAACTTTCCACAAATCCTTGCATTCTTTCATCCCTACCCTAGAACATTGTGTTAGCATAACAGGACTAAAAAATGCAGAGCTCAGTTCACACTAGTGCGAAAATAGTGTTACAACTCACCATGTGAAACAAAAGTGAATGAATATTAAACAACATATAAGCCTCAAAAAAGCCTCAGTAGCCCCGGTTAAGCCGCAAACCGGTTTATCCGCCCCCGGATAATCGAGAGTTGAGTTTATTTCCTGAAAACCTCCAAGGGAGAGGATCTCATGTGGGATTTGTTTTCCTGATACTGGATGAACATCAACATTGTCATTTTCTGATGTGTCTGATTTAAGATTGTCATTTGTTTTTACATTTATCTTTACATATATGGCAAGATTCCAAAATAGAAAAAACTTTTGAATTCTTCCTTTGCTGCATACATTTTCAAGTCACTTTCATAAACAGCCCTCAAAAGTAGCCATACTTCACAAATTTGCTGTGTTACACTTGCACAAACCCTCTCCAAGGGACCATGGCTTAACCTAAAATTAGCCCCTGGCTGGACTTGTATACTTACTTACTTACTTACTTACTCATGGAGCTGAACCCTTCTTGAGAAGCCGCCAATTCTGCAGCTACTTATGGAACCCGAAGGTTCATTACCATGTTCATAAGATTCCTCCACTGGTCCCTATCCTGAGCCAGATCAATCCAATCCATACCATCTCATCCTCTCTCTCTGTAAGATCCATTTTAATATTGTTCACCCACCTATGCCTGGGTCTTCCCAGTGGTCTCTTTCCTTCTGGCTTTCCCACCAATATCCTATATGTATTTCTCGACTCCCTCATTTTTGCTACATGCCTTGCCCACCTCACCCTTCCTGACTTGATCATTCTAATTATACTTGGAGAAGAGTACAAGTTATGAAGCTCTTCATTATGAAGTTTTCTCCAACCCCTTGTCACTTCGTCTCCCTTTGCTCCAAATATTCTCCTCAACACCCTGTTGTTGGACTTGTATACTGATTGAAAATTATCTGTTGAAAAATCTACTATGATTTTATTTGAAGAGCCTGTCTGTACATTTTCCTGTTCTTCATTATTGTTGAAGCATAATGAATTTGTTCAAAATTTGCTTTGGTTTAAGACTTTTCATGAATATTTAAATTACAACTGTCATCTTAATTAAGTAATGAAATTATTTTTTTATAAAATTTATCACAGGTAACAACAAATCAGTCTACACTTGAGGTTAATGCATAGCTAAGTAAAAATGGAATGTATGAAGTTACCAGTTTCACAAATGTATACATATATATATATATATAACTGGAATTCTATATGCTTCTTACCCCAAAAAGGGAAAACCAACGGTTGCACAATCCTGAGTACCAGTTATTTTGCTTAGAGTGTATGTGTGTGTCTCTTGCAGGCTGATTCTTTGCACCCTCTTCTTCTCCACTCCAGATACTTGAATGTTCTTCTGGCGAAGACACTAGACTCGATGTCCCAGAACTGTGTGCTCCCTAGAAAAAGTTGTCCATTTTCAAACAAAAGTATCCGTTCTGAAGGAAACATTAAAAAACGATGTTGTGTTCTTCTACTGTCATATCCTAATTCTAAAAGAGAGTAACTCCAAGTAGAAGCCAAATTACTGTTACACAAGAAGTTGCCATTTAGGTTTCTGGTTTCTGCCATTTAGACAAATGCACAAAATTAATTTATGAGGTGGAAGAACCAACAGAACAGATTCTGTTACTTCCAGTGATAAGTAATCACAAGAATGGGACATAACATAACTCACCCATAAATTCATTAAGCATTTGTTGGTGTGAAAAAATATTTTCAATGAACATTAGTGAAAGAAGTGAAACAAACAGTTTGCCACTAGTATACCTGTTCCTCAAATTTAAACTGGAGGTCACTGCTTGTCCTCTATACCTTACTTTAAGCTACTTAAAAGACATTATCAGGGATTAGAACTCACAAACTGAAAATCTAGAGGAAATTCCAAAGCAAATACTCCAGAAGTGTTATGTACATCTCCTAGCCTGTTAAAATCGTCAGACCATTTTCTTTTCACCTCAATAAAGGTTATTATTTTTTCTTTTCATTTAACTGATTTTTAAATCATCTGGTATAGTATTTTGGCACATTCGATATTGATGCATTGCTAATATATACTACAGAACAGCAAACAGCATGATTTTCCTTAAGCAAGTACTTAACTACTCTACTAACAACAAAACTGCAAGCAAAGTTTTTGGCTAAGGTGGAAGGCTTCAGTCCAAATGAAGCCCATAAACTGATAACACAGGATTTAAAGAAGGACCTTAAACCCTGGCTCATTATCCAATAGTGTCCAATAGTGTCCAATAGCAGCTATTGATATGTCAGACTTCAATCACAGACATCCCCACTCTAGTTCAAGCCTGCAGAAAGAACTGTATGCACATGACTAGCTGATGAGAACCTCGAGACCCTACACTGTGACCATCACATCCTCTCTTGATAGAAGTGAGTGAACACTGTTCATAGCCATAGAACAGAACAGAGAACCATGAAAACTGGAGCATCTGTTGCAAGTAATTATCCCTGAGAAGATAAGTGAAGTCATGCAGTGAACACAGGACTGATTATGATGATAGTCTACAGTCTATTCAGAAAGTCTACATAGAGTGCCTTGGTATTGTGATCCCAATGGGACTACTGTAGCTGGTCACAGTAGCCAAGCGGTCTAAGGCGTGCACTGTCTTCACTCGCTCGGAAGCCGGGTTCGAATCCCACTCAGGGCATGGATGTTTGTGTGCGTTTTTCTGTGTTTGTCTACAGGTAGAGGCCTTGCAACGAGCTGATCACTCGCCCAAAGAGTCCTACCACATGTGTAAGATCTAGTAAACCGAAGTGAAACAGAGAGTTTCATGGAGGTAGGCCTAGGACCAAATTGGGGCTGTAGCGCCACAGAAAAAGAAAAAATGGGACTACTGTACCAGCATCTGATAACAGATGAGTATGGGACATCTGTGGAATGATAACTGGCAATGGAAAGTGCTAAAAAAGAACTGCTCTAGTGTGACTCTGTCCACAATGAATTTCACAATTAGGGACTGAACTTGGGTCTCTGCAGTGAGAAGATTGCCAACTAACTACCTGAGGTATGGAAATGCCAAAACAGGTAACTCAGTTTTGATATATCTTACAAATATTCACCACACACACAGTTCAGTATTTACAGAGTGACAGTCATGAGGCAGTAACACAGCCAATAACAGTGGCCACACGGTGCAAAAGTGGGTACTCTCTTCCGCCACTTGAACACTAAGATGTGAGTCTGAGTTCCATTCAAGTAATGGATATATGACTGTATGTTTATTTTGCCCCACATGGGTAGAGGCTTCATGACAGAGAAATGCCCATCTGAGGTTCCTACAAAATGCCTAAAAACAAGATCCCAAAACCTGGAATACAGGAAGCCTTGGACTGCACTGGTCTGAAATGCTATACAAAGGAAACAGCAGTAACATTATTAGAGTGAATAAACTTACACTGTGTTTTTTATGATGAGTTCTTTCAGGGAAGAGCTTGTCAAGGTCACTGCCAAATTTGTCCACTGCCTCTGAGTGGTTATGCCTCACAGCTCCATAACCACCATGAGGACTCGTGTCAAATGTCGGGCTCTGGAAATCCTGTGCCCTAAATCGTTCCTCTCTTCTCAACCGGATGTCAAATGTTTGTGCCAGTGCAAAGTATGAATAATCTATAGCAGCATATGTAAGTAGAAAAGGCATAGTCACAACTGGAGCCAATGTGTTGATCTTGCCGACAAGAATGAATGTCAGTGTCACTGTTGCAACTACAGCCATGGCATGTACAGGAACCTTGTTAGGTCCATGCTGAAACAATTGGAACAGATTAGGAATGACTCGAATAAATTTTGCAGTGCTGCTGAGATGGATGACAAAGGACTGATTCTCAACAGGGGCAAGGATATTTGTCTAGGCTGGCTCTGTGATTCATCCAGCATCCTTTTCAGACGCTTTCCCAAGAAGAAAATGGCCACAGTCTGAAGTTGACCACTCAGTGAAATTAAGAATGTGTCTTGATGGCATGACAATTAATAGGATTTGCAACCAACTTTTCACCTTTCACAGGCTCCAAATGGTATTACTGTGGCCTCACTTCATGTCCTTATCTTTCATGCTAGGGTCTGGACACCATAAGTTGTTTCCAGATTGTAAAAACCACTTAATTAATAAGAAAGGATTACAGGACATGAATGACAACTGGTTAGCTTTGCAGAATGATAAATTTGCTCTGGTGAGTTTAAGGTTGAAATGAATGGGACGCAATTCTTTGTAAAGAATGGTAAGATGCTAGCATTAATTATAGGAACAGATTAGCTCACTGTCAATTTACTGATATCACAGATTATAGGATCACAGGCACAATACAACAGAGTGTTTCAGTTGATAAACATGAACAACAATTAATTAATGGAAAATGATCTTGTTCATGTTCCACTCCAAAACAGTTGGTACTACTATTAATACTATAATAATAATAATAATAATAATAATAATAATTAATAATATTAATACTATACAATTAACTAGGTCAGTTTACATGAGTAAATATGATCCTGCATGGTGTGATAATTTCTAAATTGAAGTTTTAATGTGTGATCCATACATCCAGTATGGACTGAATCCAAGAGGCAAATGCCATAAATCATGCACTCATGGTTAAGTATTGCTGGTGGTTGGTTTTTAATGCTGCACATTAACAGTTAAGTCACTTGTGTTTTTAACCTCAACTGGTTGGCATGTTTGTAACTCATTCTCTATTTGGACACCACCTGGACGAGTAATGCTATCCCGTTATCCTGGGTACTTCAACTGGATTGTCAGATTTCAAGATGTTCCCACTTTTGTCCACCAAAGGTCTCTGCAGTCTCATGACCATAGAAGCATCTAGGAGAAGAGTAGGGAGCTTTGTGGACAACAGAAAATGGTGTCTAATTTTGCCTTCACTTATCTCTTTTCATGAGTGAAAGGTTCTTTCATGACATGGGAACCCTGCTTTACTCCCTTCTGAAGTAAGAATTGCTACAGATTTTCATTGCCCTTAAAAATCTGCTGACCTCACCTGGGTTTGAACACATGAACCTTGGGTACAATGGTGAGCACATCCCCAATATGCAGATCTCATTTTTGAGCCTGCAACTAAAAATACAAAATTCTGTTCTGCAATTTTTTGGCTGTACTGTAAGCTGTCTCAGCATGGGCTAATAAATTGTAATTCAAGGGTTTTCCAACATATAAATCTTAAATTTAAGATTAATGAGAAACTGGCAAATAAAACTACTGAAGAGGGGTAAAGGAGAGTATGGGATTGCTGGGAGTCCTGCCTCCTTAGTGATGACAGTCATGCTTTCTGTTAAAGTTTAACTTTCCAATTTCTGGTAAAAATGAACTACTTAATGGCTTCTTTTCAACCTAAAAGTTAGAAACTATCATTGTCACCGTGGAACTATGGGCACAAGCAAATTTCTTACTCAGAAGGTCTGTAAGAGAGAGGGGTCTGTGCAGCTAGTCTAAATCTAAAATTTACTTACTTACTCATGGAGCTGAGCCCTTCTGGAGGAGCCGCCAATTCTGCAGCTACTCAAGAATTTCCCAGCAATTTATGGAACCCGAAGGTTCATTACCATGTTCACAAGAGCCCTCCACTGGTCCCTATCCTGAGCCAGATCAATCCAATTCATACCATCCCATCCTATCCAAGATCCATTTTAATACTGTCCACCCACCTACGCCTTTATCACTTGAAAACAACACAGCAAGCCACAAACAAACACGGACAATACTAAGAATCTCCTTTCTCAAGATAGACAGGCAGCACAAGATCAGCCACCTCCAAGAAAGACAATAGGAGAATTGACACGAACCTGCATGGTTTATACATTTTAATTTTAAACAACAAAATTTTTCAAAAACTTTAAAAATTTTAATACCAGGAAGGCTGCTGTGACTGTGAAAAGTTGAACATTGTGTATTTCAGACATTATATGTGTATGTATATAATTTAACACCTACTGTAATAGTAATTTCTGGGAATAAGTACTGATGCCCTCTGAGGATGATCTGTAGGGATCAAAACATGTAAGGGTGATGAGTTTTCAAGTGATAAAGCTTAAACAGTCACACTAGATGGTGCTGTTTTTGTCTTTGTAATTGTTAGTGTGACGGACCAGAATGAAACAAATCAAATTAACTGATATGCATTACACCAAAAATATCTAATTCTTCTCAGCGTTTATAAGATCTTGATAATTTGGCTAAAAAATCACCATTTCACAGAAAAACCACTTAAGCTGTGCCACATTTACATCATCTCAGTTTTTCACAACATTCTTAAAATTTTTCAACTAATGCCACTTAATGATTTGCAGATCGTGTGCCAACTAGGTCAGCTCATATTGCAGGGTGGGGCGCAGAAATTTCCTTTTTTTGAAGGTGACTAAAAGAAAAATTATTGCTGATAGACAAAATTTATGTTCAGCTAATGAAAGAACATACTTTAAAGTTTTAAATCATGTAGTTTTAAACAAAATATCTTGAAGGTGGTGGCCACCGTTCTCTGTGCGCTGATGCAACCATTATCTGAAATTCCACTCTGCACGTTCCAACATGTGCACTGGAATTTGGGCTACTTCCTGCCGAATAACATTCTTCAGCTGAACCAGGTTTGTGGGGCGATGTTTAAAAACCTCTGTCTTGAGGTATCCCCATAAAAAAAAATCATAGGGCGTTAGATCAGGTGAGTGCGCTGCCCACAAGATGTCACCTCGAAGCGAGACGAGCCGTCCGGGGAACTTTGCCCTCGAAACTGTCATCGAAGCTCAGGGTGTGTGGGCCATGGCACCATCCTGTTGGAACCAGACATTTCCCAGATGCATTTCTTCAAGAGCTGGTTCAAAAACAATCTCAAAATCGACTGTCGAACTGCCTCCACATTTTCTGGCGTTGTAACAGTCCGTTGTCATCCTGATGATTTTTTCACCACACTCCCGGTTGTCCTAAAGTTCTCTACCCACAAAACAATCGATTTCCAGTCAGGAACCGGACCTCTGGGCTTAATTTGTAAGTGAGTTTGGAACGCATGCTGCACCGCCACGTAGGAATGGTTGTTCGAAAAATAGGCTTTGACAGCAAACACACGTTGCTCACTCATCCACCTCATGTTTCCTACTGAGGGGCATTAGACAGAAACTTCCATGACTGCTGCGTTCCCCGAGCCTATCTCTACTTTTCTGCGACCTCCCCTCCCTTCAGAATGCGTCTTCACAAAAAGGAAGTTTCTGCGCCCACTACTTTCAATAAATCAGCTGCAGCTGAAGAGACTGGTTCACTGTTAACCAATCAGTACCATATTTCTGTCAATAAATGCCATCAGGTGTGGCATACAGATGTTCAGAAGAAATAATAGGTTTTCACAAGAAATATTTTTGTTGTTGTTTGATGACCATTTCAGGAAAGTACAATGGGTCTTGTGTGCAACAAAGTTTTCCACCAAGCAATCATGGAACTTTAAGAACAGTAGCTCTATGGTGTGCCTGAGCGGTCAAAGAGTTAAGGGAAGTTAATAATTTTATAAAACCACACTTTCAACTAACATTATAGTGAACAAAAGTCACAGCTCAAATCATATTATTGAAATAAAGTTTCTCCTTTCAGGTTAGGCTTCTATACTGGAATTCTTTAAGAAGTGTAGAGTTAACATAAATTAAACATGCAGAAAAAGAAAATAATTTTAAGCCTTGTATTAGACTCACCCCTCTGCCTAGAATCTGAATGACTGGGATAACATTCTCATTGGCAATGGACTGCAGGACACGAGGAGTCCCATACATTGCAGCCAGACAGCTGGACATCGAGGAGACATACAGACCAGCCAGGAGAAGGAAGCCTGAACACATTTTCATTTATATAAATATTCTGCCATTTTTAAACTTAAAGAAGGCCTATGGCTTAGTTAGGAGGAAAATATTACCAATATTCTCATTCAATTTGGGACATCTACCAAACCAGTTGGGCCAATTTCAATTTAATGAGTTCTGTTACCATATAAACAGTTCTTACAAAGTTGGACTAATTAAGTTTTGGGGATTACTGGGCTTTTGGACTTTGGCCATTGTCTGATCCAAAAATCCAGTAATCCTGAGTTTTTACACCATAATCAGAACCCTTTAGAATAAATTAAAATGTGTTTGAACACAATGTATGGTAGCCCAAATAGGTATACATCTATCTGATGCATCTCCTATTCAGAAATGTCTGAAAAAAGATGGTGTGTTACTGAAATGGTTTTTCAGCTTCACTTTACAATATGCTACTAGGGAAGCCCAAGGAAACGTGAAAAAACTGGGAACTGAATGGAACACATCTGCTTCTGGTCTACAATAATAACATTGAATTTATTTAGTGAAAACATAAATACCATAAAGGAAAACACAAAACCCTATTAGGCACCAGTAAGTAGATCATATAAATTTCTATAACAGATATTTATTGCTGTTAGAAGAAGAGCGTACAGACAAGAAGGCAGTGTGCAGTAACTAGTGAGGTACTGTGGGGCCCTGAGAAGGGCCATAACTCTTAAGGCATGGCATGCCTGATGAATGGCAGCAAAGCTCCAGCCACAGCAGGCTGGCTTGTGCTAACAATGGCAGTCTTCCTTGTTTGGCACCCGGGGGGACTGTGAGCTGGCCACAGGGTGGTAAGCACTTGTGGTGAACTTCCCAATGGGTTTGGGCAACCCCTCCTGAAGTCGGCTGAGTGTTTTGTTGCTAGGAGACTTGCTGCTGCTGCTGCTGCTGCTGTGTGCACTCCAGATGAACTGTCTGAAAGTAACAGTAGGACCGACTGACTGACTAGCGAGTCAGAGGTAAGCCCTTTGTCTGCAGTCGCTAGGATTGCCCAATCCAAGAGGCAATGGTGCTGCTGTGGTCCATGCTGATTGGCTAGCGATTGATTCCCTTTGCTGGATGACCAGAAGTTGGTACCTGTTCTGGAGATTTGTGGTAAGCTCCCACATACTGTATTATGGGCAGAGTGTGGGTGGTACTTGAAAGTGTGCAGAAAATAGTGGATGGGATGTTTACTCATAAAAGATGGTTCCTCATTAGCAGTCAGTGGCAAGTAGAATGGGTTACGTAAGTCTATGAATATCTCTAACTCTTTAATTCAGATGATGCTAACAATGATGAAAATGTTAAATTCTTTGTTACTTTTCACATTTGGATGATAAGCACTCCAAAGGCGAAGACATACTGCTGTACCACATTATTATTCAAACCTTAGTGTTATACAGTGTTACACAAAATGTGCAGTTAAGGTACAGATCTGTGGTCACACAGTTCAACCATTTTCATATATTATCTGTATTCACTAGAATTTGTGATTTATATGCTTTATAAATTCTGGTAATATCAATGTTTCACTCTACTGTTCAGTGATTTTCAATACTATCCCATAAAGTCACTATAAGTAAGGCATACAGAAAGAAGCTAAAGCACAAAAAAGATTTTAATCCCACTGATATCATTCAATGATTGGTCTAGATATAACTATTGCAAAAACTACGTATACATTTATGTCTCACTAGCAAAATGCAGAACACATTCATAATATAAATGTGGCCAATAAATATTCTGAAGAATTTGGCACAGTTCAAATAATTAAATCATTCAAAGATATGATACATAAAAAATGCAAGATTAAGAAATAAATGATAAAAACGAAAGAATAATAACCGAGTATCAAAAGCAAAACATTTTGCTTTTGTGATTTCAAGTTATACAACAACTCCTGGGAAATGTAACATCAGTGTTAGTCAGTACATACATGTGTTTCATGTCCTCCAAAACAAAGACCAAACTCCGTGATTTTAGTCCGCAAATCAACTATACCGACCAAGCGACTGCCACTTGTCGGCGAAGTTTGTGCCATGTCCTAGAGCACAAAAACTTATTTCATGAATAACAGCAGCTTAATGTTGGGAACCATGTATATTTATAAAGGCCTTACTCTTTTCAGATTGTTATTTAACCACACTTTTCAACTGCACTGGTTATGATCATCATGGTATGACATCTGTGAATGAAGACTAAGGAAGAAAAGGAAAGTAGAAGTCTTGGTGTATTTTAAAGTGTTACCCAAGAATTTACATGAAGAAACAAATAAAAGCACAACAAGAAAAATTACTCCAAATAACTGGTCTCCTGGGCAAGTTTTGAACATCGGGACCTCCAAAATATGGAGGAGTTTTAGCCAATTGATTGGTGCACCCAATAGGTGGTGTTTCACTTATATACGGCATATTTTATATCAATGAAATCCAAATGACTTCCACAGAACATATAAAGGAACATTCTCTAATTATTTATGGTTTCTTTAACGACCCATTTAAGTGGATGATTAGTGAAAAATGTACTGGAATGGATGAAGAAGGAAGTTAATCTGAATTATTATTGTGGCATCTGCCTGGATGGACTGGGGAATATCATTAAGGACAGCCAGTCTCCAGAGCAAAATCAGAACCTGTGACTTCCAAAACACAATGCAGTAATGCTGCACACTCAGCCATGGTGTTTAGTAACTTGCTCTAATAACAACTTGAAACATATGAACAAGTGATACTTACGAACTGCAGACACCTTGGCAGCTATCATGTAGTCAGTCAGAAGTGCAGTACGTTCACACGTAGAACCAAGAACAAGTACAAAGACTAGGTACAGGAAAGTTCTGAAAATGAAAAGAATCATGGTACATACTGCAGAGCGTACATCATATTCCCAATCGAGCTCTCATCTGTTTTCATGGTCAATGAGTTCACCACAATATAACAACTCTTGACCCTCAAGGGAGGTAGCATATTCCCCTGAAACATATAACATGCTGTTATATCCCAGAAGACCACACTCTGAACAATTACAGATGAGAAATCCTGAAAACTTACAAGCCTTCCCTTACTTACAGCACTGAAATTTTGATATAAGAAAATGGGATAAGGGGAAGAAAGAAAGCAGAAAATGAAAAGGATATTGATTGAAAATAAGAACTTGTAATATACACAGAGAACTGGAAATCTTTAACAAGAACAAAATGGCTGAGTTAGAGAGAATAAAAGACAGAAGTTGGGTTTCATCAAGAACATAACTAACTGGCTCACTGAATGACACTGTAAAAACTACAGAGGTTACTTCCATTGCCTGTGTAATATCATAATATGAAAATTATCTCTCTCAAATGGGAAGGATGAGGAACAAAACAGTTACTACATATTCCAAAATACATCTGATAGGACTGAAGCATGACATCCAGCTGTCTGACCAATATTTAAAGAACAGATATGTTACCATTCACAAGGAATAAAAAATTCAAGTCATCCTCAAAAATGATGGCATAACCAATAGAGTACTTCTTTTGGCTTATTTTGGACTTCACCCATCGTCCGGCATATAAAAAAGACAAAAAACCACAACGTTTCGGAGACTGGATCTGTCTCCGTCTTCAGGTGTATAGGGAAGGTTTAACCTACTCAGTTGGGCCCCTTAGAAAGAGCTAGTCTCAATCACTGGACAAACCTTGATCTGTAGAAACAACCTATGAACAACCGACAACCGGTTCCGTCAGTGGGAGGAAAGAATAAAATCGCAGTAAAAACATGATAGAAAATTTGTGCCAAACATGCACTTGTCAACAATGTAAAGAAACAGAAGTATGGGTTATATTCCATGAATTCAGTTAAAAACGAAAGTAAAAACTGGATAAAGCATGCCTTATCTGCATGGTTAAAGAATCGTGCCACCATGGCGACTTCCGGGAATCAGACTAATCTCCGGAAAAAAACTTGCAGTAGTAGTGGAACCACTAATATTCATGAAATTACATTTTTTGGTTTGTTAACCTCTTCATTGATGAGGGGGATCCATATAGGAGAAATATCCAAACTGGGTTGGCTGATCGGATTGGATGAACATGCCATATGAGCTGATTCTTTGTATTTCCTGTATCTGCTGTTGCTTTCAATCTCCAAGATCCTAGCTTCATCCCAGCTGACCCTGTGACCTTCTTCATATGCATGCTGAGCCAACCTGGATTTCTCTAGAAGACCCTGCTTAAGATTGTGCTTGTGTTCACGGATTCGAACAGCCAGTGGTCTTCCTGTTTCACCAATGTAGCTTCTGCCACATTGACAGGGAATGCTGTAGACGCACTGTGCCGTCTGTTGAGGATCCCTTTTTGGTTTCGTTCTCACGAGCGAAGATCGTAAAGTGTGTTTAGTTTTGAAGACGGTTCTAATATTGTACTGGTTCCCTATGCGCTTGAACTTCTCAGAGATTCCCTTGACATACGGGATGTACACCGTGCCAAGAGGCTTTTCCTCTTTTTTCTTTTGACGACTACCGCCCTTGGACCTGATAACCGAATCAGTAAAGCCTTGAGAGTAACCACTCAGTACAGTATACACCATCGTCAGAATCCTTTCAAGTCTATAACCAATAGAGTTTAAACAAGACAAAAGGCACAAAGAAGAGAAAGACCAGCCAGGAGAGGACATAAGGCATATTTCTTACATATTCTACTTTTATACACACTCACCCTGTACCAATGGCTGCCAGAGTACCATTGGGAATGTCTCTAGAGGGGTGTCGGAGGTCACCACTCATATTGATGCCAGCCATGATACCAGTCACAGTTGGAAAGAATACTCCAAATACAGTGAACCAGTTGTTGTCTTCTTGAAAATCAGGGAATGTATTGTTAGCAAGGTTTTCTGACATCCATCCTGAGAAACCATTCGCTGAAATTTTAAATGACGAAATTCAGGAGTGCTCAGCCACTTGGACTGCATGCATATGCCATTACAGCAGTGTCATGCACACCCTGTAAAGGCTAATGATACCGGTAACTTTCAGGGTTATTTTCAAGGACTAAAAAAGATCCAGTCAAATATAAGTGTGCTAATTTGTTTCTTATGACTAAATCTTGACTTTAAATGGAGGTATGAGTATTGTACATTATGTAAACTTCTGTAAAATATATTTTGCATCAGACCTAATTTCTTTCTGCAGCACCCGATTTACCACAAATTACATAATGAGGAGCTTATGGAGGTTGGAAATGCATGTAGCACATACTGTACGTGGAAGATGAAGAATCCATAATAATTTTGGTTGGAAAAACTAAAGACAAAAGGCCACTCAGTAGACCTAGGAGTATAATGGAAGGTAATATTGAAATGATTTTTAAAAACAGGATGACAGGGTATGCACTAGATTCAACTGGCTAAGAATAGGTTCCACTAGCAGGCTCTTGTGAACACAACAGCCAATCTTTGGCTCTATGCAAGGTGGGGGATTTCTGTATCATCTGAGCAATTATCAGCTTCTCAAGAAGGAATATGATACATGGAGTTACAGCAGTTAGTCAGTCAGCTGCTTAGTTAGACTGATCATATGACTTAGAGCGATGCCTTTTAACAGCAGTGAAAAACGGACTATATGTGATCAACTTTTAAGCAATCTGCAACACAAAGAGATCTGTAGTAACCACTGACCACTCTCTTTTTGATAAGAAGCATACCATAAATGAAGCATTTACATTTTTCTATTGCCGCAAGCAAGCAGGCAGGCAGAAGTGTAAAATATATATAAAAACTTAATTTTAATATCAAGTTATGTGTCTTACCTATATCTGTGTGGATGAAACTGCCAACAGCAAAGTCCACACCAGCCAGAAGAAGAATAAGCAACAATACAAATTGCAGCTTTACGACCCATTTGACCCCTGCAACATTGATCATGCCAAGCAACAGCACTGCAGCACTGGCAAAACCTCGTTCAGCCCATGGTGACTTTAAGCCAACTAACCCAGCCATAGATTCTCCAAATCCCAGCACATAGAGAGCACAGCCAACAGCCTGAACAAACAATTCACATAAGGTACAACAGTTCAAAGTTATTTATTCAAGACACAATCACCACATCATGTTCAGGAACTTTGTAGGGTTAGATTTTTAAAACCTGTCCCTCTGCAGTGGTCATCTCAGAATGAATCAGTAATGCACTTCCACAATACTAGTATAAATCCTTCAGACCTTATTTAGCATTCAAGGACTTAAAATACCTGAATGTCAGTATGTCTGGCTGCATTTATTCATAAGGTATGAACCAAATGTCCAACTTTCATTAAACTGTGTATGAAGGTCAAGTCCTTCTCAAACCAAACATGAAGGCTTTTCAGATTCTTGAGGAAACAGCAATATTAGTGTCAACTGTCCTGTAATCTGGGAATAAAGAAATTCAATTTACCTATACCACAAGGCTGGCAGCTGGACTTTAATTGTCAATTGTAAGGAATATGGAATTTTAAATAACACAGGTCTGCAACCAAAAAAATGCATAGGATATTTTTACTGTTTCTTATAGATTTTTACTCACTAAAACCGGAAAAAATAGTAAAAAAGATCCATCACGTCAATTTTTTTTGAAAAACTGATATTTTTAGTTTAATTTTGAGCAAACTTTCTCTTCAACATGAAATCTGGTATCCTATTTGTAGTTCGTCTTCTTTTCTTCTACACTACAGGTTTCGGCTGTAAAAGGCCATCATTACGTGTATACTCTCACATAGCCGTTACACTGCACGTAGTTTAAAGTTTATAAACACCAGCTTTCTCAATTGTTCATTTCTCCATTGTTAATAGGTCCTGATATATCAGAATCCTCTTGCTGATATTTGTCAGATATGTATAAAATCTTTGTTAATTTACATATGTCAATTTGAGTTTGGTATTTTGGTATTTTTAAAATATTCAATTTAAAGTGAAAAAAAAAAAATTTAAATTGAAGATTTTAAAAATACCAAAATTCAAAAATAAAATTGACGCATGTAAATTAACAAAGATTTTATACATATCTGACAAATATTAGCAAGAGGATTCTGATATGTTACACAGGGTCTTGGATTTTGATGGATTCTTCAGAATGGCCTAAGAAAAGGAAAGTGGACATGAGAGTTGGCACATGGAATGTAAGAAGTCTCTACAAGCCAGGTTCACTGACAAGAGTTACAAGAGAAATACCAAAGTATAAGTTAGATATAGTGTAAGTATAGGATGTTGAATGCAACAGGAGTGGCACTGAACCAGCAAGGAACTATACATTATTTTAGAATGAGACTCATGAATTAGGGACAGGAATTTTTGTACATAACACAACTTTATCAGCAATTGAGAATGGGGTCTGGTAGCAACAGGAAGCTGTATGTAGTGCTAAGATGTTGCTGCTGGGATATCAATGTTCTGAATGTTCATGCCCCAACAGAGGATGAAACTGATGATAAGCATGACAGCTACTATGAAGAACTATAAAGTGTATTCAATCAATTCCCCAGTACCACATGCAAATTTTGGTAAGAGACTTCAATGAGAAAGCTGGAACAACTGAGAATGAGATTTTACATTAAATTAGTAATGATAATGGATAATGGCAGTAAACCTGGCCACTTCCAAAAATCAAATTGTCAGAAGTATACTGTTCCCACATCACAACATTTATAAATTTACTTGGACATCCTATGACAGAAAGACATAAAATCAGACTGGCCACATTCTTATAGACAGAAGGCATTAAAATGTACTTGTTTGATCTTTTAGGCAAGCAGAATATGACATCAATCACAATGTGGTGGTTGAAAAGTTGGGAGATGCTGGTAACATGTAAATGAACAATACATAAATTTGATATGGAGATTTAGTATCAAGGAACTACATGAGACAAAAGGTAATCAGGTTAAAATCTCAAGGAGTTTTGCAGTTTTTGAAAACTTTGATGATGATGTGCATGTTAACAGAGTTCAGGAAACTATTACAGATAATATAAAATTTCAGTCAAAGAGACTGTAGGTTGTTACAGACTGAAGTAGCATAAGCTATGATTTGACAAAGGATGTTCACAACTATGAGATCAAAGGAAACATGCCAAACTCCAACGGTTACAGGATTCAAGCCAAATAAATGGAGTTAATCTGAACAATGTTAGATGTTAAGCTGGAAGACATTTCAGGATCAAAAAGTGCAAATATCTGAAAGACAAAATACATTAACTTAATACACACAGTAAGAACATTTAACATTAGAGACTTACATGGAGCAATAAATGAATTCAAGAAGGGCTACCAACCTAGAACTAATTTGGTGAAGGATGAACATGGTGATCTGCTTCCAGATTACCACAACATTTTGAGTAGGTGAAAGAACTATTTCTCTCAGTAATTCATAAGTCCCTCCAGAAGATGCAGCAAAAAGGAACATACGAGGGGGTACCCAAAAGAAACCGAACTTATTTTTTTTAAACTCATTTATTCAAATTTTAAGCACAAACCTTCAATCCCCTTTAAAGTATTCTCCACTTACACTAATACACTTGTCTAGTCTTTTATTCCATTTTTCAAAACATTGTCTAAATTCATCTTTTGAGATGCTTGACAGCGCCTCCGTCGTTTTTTCCTTCACCTCAGCAACATCAGCAAAACGCTTTCCTTTCATGTCTCTTTTCATTCGGGGAAACAAAAAAAAGTCGCATGGGGCAAGGTCGGGTGAGTATGGAGGGTGAGGAACAGGGGTCATACCATTTTTGGTCAAGAATAGTCGTACAGACAGGGCTGTGTGAGCAAGGGCATTGTCATGATGGAAAAACCAGTCACCCGACTGCCACAAATCTGGCCGCTTCCGCCTCAAACTGTTCAAAACTTCCAAGTAGAAAGCCTGGTTAACTGTCTGACCCTGCGGAACAAACTCTGAATGGACGACTCCTCTCACATCGAAAAAACAAATCAGCATTGTTTTCATGTTTGATTTCACCTGACGAGCTTCCTTGGGGCGAGGCGAACTTGAAGTCTTCCACTGGCTTGATTGTTGCTTTGATTCAGGATCGTAAGCATACCACCAGGTTTCGTCACCGGTGATAATTTTTGAAAAAAATTTTGATCATTTCGGGACTCTTCTTTCAAAGCACAGCATGCTTCCACGCGACCTTGTTTTTGTTCAGCAGTCAGCAGTCGTGGCACGAATTTCGCAGCCACCCTTTTCATTCCCAAATCTTCTGTCAAAATTCGCTGAACTGAGCTCCAAGTCACTCCCGACAGCTCCACAATTTCTTCAATGGTCCGTCGTCGATCTTCCTTGATGATTTCACGAATTTTTTCAACATTTTCATGTGTTCGGGCCGTGGAAGGACGACCAGAACGAGGTTTGTCATCAATTGACATTTCACCATTTTTGAAATGGGAAAACCACTCAAACACTTGAGTTTTCCCCACAGCATCGTCCTTGTACACCGTTTTTAACATTTCAAGAGTTTCTGTTCCACTTTTCCCGAGCAAAAAGCAGAATTTCACCGCCGCACGCTGTTCACGAAAATCAGCCATTGCAAAAACGATGATCACACAAAACAGTTGTCACTACAAACTCTGCCGAAACTAGTCCTTACCTTCTGAAGCAATGGTAGTCGGCTTATCGACTCAGGAATGTTAGCTCTATGCGCTCATAGTGGCAAAACGCGGTACTACAGAAGCTCTGCCCACAAAAAAATTAGTTCGGTTTCTTTTGGGTACCCCATCGTATCAGTAGGTAAATAATCTCTTGAAGTTTGTTTGGGTAACACACACCAGGAATATTCTTGGAATATTCTTGGGAGTAAAGGGTGGAGAGCACGTAAGGCTGACAACCTTACCACCATCTATGAGCCGATTGTCCAGAAAATGTGGGAACCTCAACATCTAACAACCCTATGGGCCTCCATGGCCTGTTACAGGGGTACCTTTACTTTTACTTACTTACTTTAATACGCACCATGGTGCACTTGCGGGTTTCATCATGAGGGGACAGTTGTGACAAAACATGGTGAAGAGAAGGGATAAGAAAGTGTTCTGTGTCTTGGAATTTGTCAGAACTGAGTCAATTGTGACAGTGCAATGGATGTTTCGGACCAAGTACCACATACAACCACCTACGGACAACACAATTCGTGAGTGGCTGTCTGTGTACTGCAGAACAAACACGCTGGCCAGGGTCATTGGTTGAGATTGTCAGGTGTGTGGGAGAAACTTTTGTCAGTCCTCAGAAGTAAACACATCACACAAGCCAGGAACTGCAGATGGCTCAGTCAAAGTGTCTGGCGAATTCTGCCAGGAGATCTTAACAGAAAATCTGAACATATGCCGCATTGCCGTGAAGTTTGTGCCCTGACTCTTGACAGATAATCAAAAGCAGCAATGTGTAAATGTGAGTCTTGAGCCATGAGAGAAGGCTAATGAGGACAAAACTTTTATCTCTAGGATCATAACGGGTGACAAAAGCTGAATTTATGGTTATGATCCAGAAAGGAAGCAACACTCGTTGCAGAGGAAGAACCCACAATTACCAAGAGCAAAAAAGGAGTAGCAGGTCGGAGTTCAACAAAGAGCATGCTCATTGTTTTTTTCGGCATGAAGGGGATTGTTCACCATCAGACGCTGTTTCAGAATGTTGTCCCTTCAGTTTCATTTTCAATTTGGGAAACAAAGCTAAATCACAAGGGCCTAAGTCTGGTGAGTAGGGAGGATAAGAAATGATAACCATGTTGTTCCCCATCCTCCCTACTCACCGGACTTAGGCCCTTGTGATTTAGCTTTGTTTCCCAAATTGAAAATGAAACTGCGGGGACAACATTCAGAAACAGCGTCTGACATCCAAATTGAATTGCAAGCAGTACTCAACAGCATTAAGGAAAATGATTTCCATGGTGCTTTTGAAACGTGGAGAAAACGATGGGATCGCTGTATACATTCCCAAGGAGACTATTTTGAAGGAGATGGCAGCCATAATTGATTAAGTTAATCCTGCATTTCTTTTTTGACTTAGGGTGGGAACTTTCCAATACACCTCATATCTTATAACAATTACAGGGAAAGAATAAAAAATTGTTGACCACTGCATTACTATCTACTGATGTAACAGGAGTACACTTGTTAGTGTAGAAATATTATTATTTGATAAAATTCACTAAACGAAAGTACAACTGTATCAACCTTCGGTCAGAAGAAAGAGCCAAGGCCAAATGAACTGTTGATGTAAAATAAAATAAAAAGGATCTAAAACAGACTGGATAAATGCTTGACTGGACAAAATGAAAAAAAGATAACATATCCATGAATATGTCCAGGGAGTGATGGGCTCCGAGGATCAGTGCCAGATGGAAGTGACTGAGGATCATGCTAGAAATGTCGAACCTTCAGGTTTTGCTACCACAGAGTTGGTTAGTTAAGCGGCATTACAGGCAAGACAAAGACCACAGGATAAAATTAGATTTATGCACTTAGACTATGTAAAAGACTAACTTATGGCACAGGGTCTTTTTTGAGGAAACGACAGTCATACATCTGGTCAAGAAATTCCTTTAGACAGAACCTAAAGATATGTTTATGCTTGCCATTTAATCAATTATACTGACCTGTCCAAAAACGTAGAGCAGTCCCAGAGCTCCTCCAAATTTTGAACCCAGAACGTAAGATACTAAGAAGTACACACCACCACTTTCCATCCGACATCGCTCGCAGATGCCGACAGCAGATAATACTGATACAAGTGCCACAGACACTGACAACAATGAGGTAATATTTTAGAATGTGTGACAGATATGAGTAAGGATAATATCAAGCATGCTATATAAAACTCTGACACAATAATATAAAAACATAATAAAACCAGGCTCTTCTAACCTACTTTACTTCCTTAAGTACAAGAAGAAAAAGAGGCACAGAAGTTCATCATTCTGTGTTTCTGTGTGTGTGTGTGTGTGTGTGTGTCATCTATATGCTTTCAACAACCTATAGATTTTCAGGAAACTTGGTGTGAACATTAACGCTGTAGTTCTTAAAATGTAAATTCATTTGAATGCTGTTGTAATACATTTTTAGCCTGCTTTCCTAAAGTAGGCTAATGCAATCCCACCTTATTAAAATCTGAATAATGTTGTATTTTAGTGTCCTGTTGCACTGATTCTCATCCATGATATGTATATTGGCAGTCTTGTAGTGCACTCAATTTCACATGTCACTTCACTACATGTTTCAGCATCACTGTGCCATCTTCAAGTGTGTTATTTACGTCAAGCTTGACGTAAATAACACACCTGAAGATGGCATAGTGATGCTGAAACATGTAGTGAAGTGACATGTGAAATTGAGTGCACTACAAGGCCAATATACATATCATGGACTAAAATCTGAATGCCTAAACCAATCTCTGTGAATTTTGGCATGTATTTCATGACACCTGAGTCCATCTCAATGGCATATTTCACAAACCCCTGGACATCTCTCCCATCTGGACTCCTGTTATCTCAGCAGAAGTTAAAAAATTACCACTCCATCCAGTTTAGATCAGTGAAAAATTTACGTTTTTTGTATTGGTACCATATGGAGAAATTGTATCTTCAGTAATGACTTATATTCTGGTAATTCTCTGGTTTAAAACCTCATACATGCTGAGTTTTTAATATCTTAATGTTTTGTCTTAGCTCATGCAGATGGTTTTTGCTGTACTTGGCTTGTATACCCTATCTTGTGTTGATGCAGGTGACTGGAGATAGGAACTGGCTGTATTAACTGGACCCAACTGAGTAGGCTTTACCTGAAAACGGAGACAGAATCCAGTCTCCGAAATGTTGTTTTTAAATAAAAAGAGGATAATGGATAATGTCAAGAAATATAATATTTTTATTAATGTATCATGGTTACAAAATTTTAGATTGTATGTGTTGAGCCCTTCTTCTTTACACAACATATTCAGACTATACCTAAATGATGTCACACATTCATGGACACTTGCTGGGCAAGGGAGAACAGCCAGACTGAATTTTTTTTTTGGGGGGGGGGACAAACTTGATAACAACAAAAAATATGAACACCCAAAACTAAAAGTATATTTATATTTTTCTAACTGAATACTCTCAGGCAATAAGTAAAACCTACCTTAAATGTTAAGTCTTTAAGCAAAATTTTCTGGCTGCTCCCCTTTGCAAACAATCATGGCAAACACCCACGCACACAGCGGAACCAAACAATGAACTGATGTGTAACAAACCTGTAGCGAATACAATAAGTATTGCATTTAGGACACCTGCTTGACCCACTACCCAGCCTGAACGCAGGAACACAATTACACCAAATATATTTATCAGACATGAAGTAAAGACACCATCCCATGTTCCAAAGAGTACTGGCTCTGATATGAAGAACTGTGATTTCCACCATGGTTTGTCTCCCTGAAAAAATATATAAATACAATAAAGTCTTCTCACGTGATCAGCCACATCAGACAAGAAAGGACAATTGAAAAACAATGCATGGACAGATAAATGGCAAGCAATCACCTTACTCCCATCTGTTCCCCCACTGGCCATCTGACTCTGCCCACTGTTCCTTCAGCAGTAAACCTTGTTAACAGTTGGGAGCATACTACGGTATAAATTCAACAACCATCCTACCAACCCCTGGTCACACAGATGCTGAAAATATTGGATACTAACTCCATACTGACATGTCTTGTCGCCTGACAGGTGCTGTGAAAGCTTCAGATCCTACCTAATGGCTATTCAGAAAGCAACCTTTATTTATTTTACAGGCAACTAAAGCAGGAGCAGGGGAGAGCTCACACATGTGAGGTAATGTCACATGACTCACTGTCTTGAAAACAATCAAATAACCGGTCACCTAGTGTTTGTTCTTGTCTCTACATAGTAAGTTATGATGTGTCCAATGACTGATAATACTGCCAGCTGCAAAGTTTGTGCTGTTATCCGCAGTGGAAATGCATCGTGAATCATGTGTGGATTACAGCAAAAATGTAATGAGTGGAGGAACTGTAAGACAATGGTGTAGAATGTTCAAAGATGGGTGAACAAATGTTGACAATGAAGAGTGTAGTGGTCAGCCGGCCATCTGTAGTGAATGATGATCTTGTTCAAAGTGTTGACCAAAAAACTTGTGAAAGATGGCCTTCACAATTTCAGAACTTTCATGTGGATTCCATAAATTTCAAAGTTCTCTATGACATTATCACAGTTAGGATAGACCATCACAGGTTTTGTGCAACATGGGTTCCAAAAATGCTCATGGGTGTGCACAAAATGCAGAGAATGGCTTCGCCTTTGACTTTTTTTAGAGCAGTACCACAAATATGGTGACTAATTTCTCTGTCACACTGTAATAGGTGATGAAACCTGGGTTTTGCTTGTGAATGGTGGAACCAAAAAGCAGTCACCGCAGTGGACGCACATACATTTACCAAACAAGCCAAGAAAGTTTAAACAAACATTTGCCAGAAAGCTGATGACATCTACTCTCTGGGACAGGAAAGGAGTGTTGATGGTGGAATTCATGCAACAAGGAACCACAATAACATCACAAGTGTATTATGAAACACTGAAAAAATTGCATAGAGCCATTCAGAACAAAAGGTGTGAAAAGCTGACATCTGGTGTAGTGCTCCTCCATGACAATGCATGTCTGCATACAACTGCTTGCACTTCAGCACTGCCAGAGCTTTTCAACTGCAAATCCTAATTCACCACTCATCCTACCATTTAACATTATATAATTCAGATACTCAGACTGTATCATAAAATAATTTACTTAAGAAAAATGTAAGAAATTTTACTGCCTCTTTCATCAGGGTAGATGATGACAGAGCGAAGACAGAAACATCAAGTTCCTCTGAAATGTTGGTATCTGTTTTTTGAACTACATGATATCACAGCCCAGAAGACTGCAATATTTAATGGTAAGATGACTATAATAATGGTGAAGCAGGAATGGATATGAAAACAGATTAGCCTATTTTAACGCTTTGCGGATCGGCGGCATATTTTTATGCCCAGCACTTTTAAACGTGCTGGACCGGTGACATATTATGATTTTAGGACACGTTATGTTGAAACACACTATACCCTGCACTGGCACCAGGCAGACACATGACTGGTGCGTGATAGACCTCTTGAATGCTTGCTTTGTAGTCAGTAACATGACCCCACTGTTTTCCTTTCCCACTCCAAATGAAAATGCCTTTGTTCATCTTCCAGCTGCATGCATCAGGCAGGAAGTTACTAGTGCAAAATGGATCAAGGTCAGAAGAGGTTGAGGTCCAAGCATTTTCTTGGAGAACAAGAAATATCTGACTTGTTCTCCGATGAGCTACCTGATGTCCCTTGTGAGTCTGCTGGTGATACCAACTCACAATCTGATAGTGTGGCAGGGGCAAACAAAAAATTGTGGCCACAGACAGTGAAAGTGAAAGTGACAGTAGCTCTGACGAAAGTGCTGATAGCAACATTGCGGGGACAGCCACATGGGGAAAAGTGGACAAAACGCCTGCTTTGGGACAGTTTACTGGAAATCCAGGGGTGAAGCAAATACCATGGGACCCAAATCCACAATTCACAATTCCAATTCGAGCATGGTTGATGTTCAAAGGAGACATGGACACGTAAAGAAGCCTGTTTGTATTTTCGAGTATAACACAGGCCAACAGCTGTTTTGGTGCCGGGGTATTTGGAGCTGATTTCATATGAATTTGATGCCCTGAATTCAAATATGGCATTAGTTTTTGCCTAGGAGCTCAAATTTTTAAGATATAACATTTTGGTGAAATATACGTTACACTATTTTAAGTTAAATCAGTGGATCAAATAAAAAAACTCAACATGGAATTTTTATTACTATATTATAATTATATTTTTATTTTATTATATTAAATACAAAGATAGAGGAAAAAATCATCGACTATATATAACAGTCAAACCAACTATAGTCACGGAACACTACGGAAGCTTCTTTTTCGTGACTTTCTTGAATGTATTTTAGAACAGTCCCTTTTTAAACTCCAGCAGTAATCTGCCATCATGTGTGTATCCCATCTTCCTTGGTAGCGGTCCTCCATAGTTTTAATATCCTGGTGAAATCTTTCACCTTGTTCCTCACTGGTGTCTCCTAAATTTTCANCCTTGCATATGAGATTTAGAACTGCACAAAATACAATTAGAACTGCACATTTTGTGTAGAACTGCACGTTACAAAAACGCTGATCTAAAAAAGTAGAGCTGGTAGAGAAAAACTGATTTTATATTTAGATTCAGCGCCTTAAATATAACTAAAATTAGTTCTAAAATCCTAGACACCAAAAAAAAATTTTTTTTTTTGTAGGCCTGTGTAATATGTTCATGAAGGGAGTTGATAGAGATCAAGATCTAAATTCAACCATGACATTGCCGAGTGGACCCAGCTGGACTCCACCCCCCACTAAGTGAATTATAAGAAAAAAATTTTTAGGGTATGATTTTAATGTATCAAAGAGTTACAATAAGGATGGTGACATGTATTCCTATTTTCAAATTACTTCTACGGTGTCAATTCCAAAATTTTAACAAAGAACTTCTCAATATTAGTTACACTCTCACTACAAGCTTAAAGTATTTCAGAAGATACAATCCTTTCCTTCTAGAGCTTAACAATTCAAACTCACACACTGGACAATAAGTAAAGTAAATCTATTCCTGTACCAGGCCGTGAAGGCCCATAGGGTTGTGAGACGTTGAGGGTCCCACATTATCTGAGCAACTGGCTCAAAGGAAAATTATTTAATTAATTCCTGGTACTCATTTGTGTTAGAGGCTGAGTCAACCCCAGGTCCATAGTGCAGCTGGAAGGATTAGTCAACTGAAAAAAATCCATTGACCTCATCGGGACTTGAACCCGCAACCTTCCAGCTTGTAGCATAGCCCCTCAACCAGCTATGCTACCGCGTACCCCGCACACTGGACAATGGATGGTACAATAATTATATATAAAAGAACAAAACGAATTAGGCAGGAAGTACCAGCACAGTCATTCAGCATCAATTAACTCTCACCTAGTCAAGAGATTCTCGAAATTTATGAAGCTGGAAGGTTCCTTACTGTGTTCACAACAGCTCACCACTGCTGCTTATTCTGAGCCAAACAAGTCCACACCTTCCTATTCCATTCTTTAAGATCAGTTTTAGTATTATTCTCTTATCTTCCAAAAATCTTTTCCCTTCTGGTTTTCTATCCAAAGCCTTATATGCATTTCTCACATCTCCCATGCATGCTACATGGCTCTCCTTCACTTGACCATCCTAATATTATTTGGTAAATAGTATGTAAAGTTATATTTCTGAGTACACACGTGGTACTTTTCTGAAAATTATAGAAACATTTCTTGTTACTCTTCATGACTGATTAACTTTTCATCCATCTAATCTTCTTTACTTAATCATCCTTAAAAATATATTATTAGAAGAATACATACTATGGAATTCTTTGCTAGATACTATCCTTCAATTTCATCTCCCCTTGCCCCCCTCAAGTTCAAATATTCTCTGCAGTGTAGCCTCTTACGGCACAAAGATAAATGATAAGCACATAATAAAGGACCCATATGGACATTTGTGAGGAAAGAGCATCTGATATTTATCTTTACAGTAAACTATATCAGTGACTGATTTCACACTGATAAGAAACACACAATGGACTTAAAACACATGATACTGAAGAATGTTTGTAAAGCACTACCTCTCCTTGCAAACCTTCAACCTGTGCATCACTGCAATCTGACTCAGACTGTAGTCTTGTAAGCTGGCACCAGTGTTTAAGAGGAATATGTTATCTTCAACTTCAGAGTTGAAGTGTGTATACTGTGGTTATCGTAAAGCGCCGTTTCCTTGCCTAACCTGTTACTGGCCCAGAACAGGCTCCATTTCCTCACCCCCTCCCCTTCCTGTGGGTCTGTGTGATCACATTACTTGTAGCCTGCCTATACAACCCAACCAATTCCTCACCCTATACACACCTCAAACCTGAAGATGGAGGCAGTATGTCCCTCCAAAAGCCAGTACCCGCCTACAAGACTACACAGTGTCCCACCCAGAAGACCACAGTTTATACAATCATCACTGTGATGACCTCAAAACTTGTGTAGGGTTTGGCACTTTCACAGCTGTAAAGATTCATATTACAGTCTTCTGGGTTATGAAACTGTGTATGTGTGTATGTGAATACCAATGTTTCTGGGGAACATTCTGCCTCCATCTCCAAGGTAGTGTCACTTCTATGCTGAAGATGCAGGCTGTATGTTTCTCTGAAACATTGGTACACATCCATCAGACTACAATATGATATAACCTAGAAGTTCACAATATGAACATGTATCGATGTTCATATGTAACAACCAATGAGATGAACAGTTTGAA